TCCGCCGCGCGGCACCTGTGCCCGGGGACGCACCCTGGAAAGCTGCGCTTCGCACCTGGGCTCGGCGCTGCCCAGGCGCAGGCGCGGCCGGGTTCCTGCGCCCGGCCTCGGGCGGGGTTGTTGGGGGCTTTGCAGAATCGCAGCCTGGGATGCTAAGCGTCGCAGAACACTTTTTCTTACAAAAAAGAAGCCCGTCCTGGGATACGATGAACTTGAAAGATAAACATTACAAGAGGATCTTCCGGAGGGGCTTGCTGTGATCACTGTAAACCGGGTTTCTGAGCGTAAACTTGGTAAACTTGACCTGCGCCTCTGGAAGCAGAGCAGTGCGCGGCGAGTGCGCCCCGGCTTCCCGGGGAAGCGGCTGCCAGCCCGGGCACCGGGCAGAGCCGCCTCGGCTGAAGGTCTAAATGAAGCCTGTTTGCACGAACAGCTTTGGAATCGGGCTTTCTTCCTAATAAATATTATTCTTAGATATACCCAGGAGCATGTGCATGTTTGTCAGACAGACAGAATTACACTGCTTCTGGTTTTCCTTTTGTTCTTTGGCAAGTCCTTGGACGGGAGAGTAATTCAATTTCTTTTCCGGCAGTTGCGAAGGGTAAGATAGCTGGTTTCAGCGAAAACGCGGGGTTTAAAGTTGGGTAAAGTTGGGATTTAAAGTCATTGAGCATATTCACAGCCTCACCCCACCCTCGCAGCTGGGGTGTATAGACCTTTTTATATGCGAATGTTATGTACTAGCTGGGTTTTTGTTTGTTTTTGCTGGGAATGGAGCGCCTGACCTCCAGCATGCTAGGCAGTGCTCTCCTCCCGAGCCCCAGGTCCTACAGAAATATTTTTAAATGTGTTTAAATTATGTATCTGAGATCTTACTTTCTTCAAACCATTCTCAAGCCAAACATTGTAAGTATCCAGTAATGGAATATGTACCAACATGTTGAAAGAAAATAAGCGAGCAAGGTAGACAAAAAAATGAAAGAGGCATATTATGATTTCCGGGTAGTCTGGCTTATTTTACAGTTCCATTTCTGATTTATAATTCTATTATCACATAATTCAGCGTCTGTCCAGGTTGGTTATTGCGCTTCGGTGACTTAAGGGAGACTTATTTAATTGCCCTACTGCCCGCGTCGCTCCGGAGATCCCACCAGGCTTTCCTAGAGGGCTCACCTGCTGTTTTGGGGCAGGTTTCCCAGTCCAAATTCAGAGAAGGGACCGGATCAAATCTGTGGCTCGTTTTATCAAATCAGAACTTCTTTTTATGTTTGCTAAGGACGGAGGGAGCCCTGTTTATCTACAGAATTACATTTCAGGTCTCTGCTTCTACTTCAGGAAGCGCAGTATTTCCTTTGTAAACCAAAGCTTGCTGAAAGACACCTGATAGAGACACACCCGTTTCTGTCACATTGAGTTTTGGCTTACTTATCAGTCTTCTTAATTCAATTAATTTCTGTTCTTAATTCAGGGATGTAACATATATTTGGAATATAATATACTTCCTTATTAAAAATAATTTTTTTTTTGTACCAGGGATTGAACTCAGGACCTTGTGCTTACCAGGCAGGCTCTTGAGTTGCTGAGCTATACTCCCCTAAAAATAATAGCAACTGTGGAACTGGGGCCGTAGCTCAGTGGTACAGTACATGTCTAGTGTGCATGAGGCACTGGGTTTGATCCCCAGCACCTCAAAAATATTTAACTAGCCAGGCATGGTGGCACACGCCTGTAATCCCAGCACTCAGAAGGCTGAGGCAGGAGGATCGTTGCGAGTTCGAGGCCAGCCTGGGCTACAAAGTGAGCTCAAGGCCAGCCTGAACTGCATAGCGAGACCCTGTCTCAAAAAGACACCCACCCAAAAAAAAATCAAAAATATTTAACTATAAATAATAGTGGGGTGGTAAACATTAAGAAAATACGTACTTGGTTGTGTTCAATAGAACATAGTTTGCTAGATTCCGGTATGAAAAAATTGGTTTTAACTGGCCTGCACCTTATTTTATAGTTGAATAGTCTAGTATTTGTATCAAAATAAGTGCCTTTGCTCATACATCACTTTGGACCGGGAAGGTCTTTCTTGCCCTCCTAGGTGATCTGGGAAGATTGCTGTGTGAATTATACTAGCAATTGGAAGACTGAAAGGAGATGATAATTGTCATTTATCTGTTTTTCTTTAGGCTACACTAAACAAGAGAAGGCAGGGTCACATGGAGTTCACACTGAGTTCTAATATGCTGGGTATCTTTTTCAAAAGTTGGATCGTTTGGATATAAGTCCTGGGAGTCAAGAAATGAAACAATCCAGATAATAACACTAGTTATTAGGGTGCATACCAGGTCAGGGGTGGAGGTGGGGTGGACATACACAGCATAATACTAAGTAAGGTTGGCAGAAATTTAGTAAATTGATCAGTGTGAATGCCAAGCATATAAATCATGTGAAAATGTATTATTCAGATTTGCTGTCAACTTTGATAAAATTAACCAAGTAACAAACTCTCCACTTAAGGATGTCCTATAAAGATAAAGATTTTGGTGTTTTGCAAAGATAATTTTGATCTTGACATATCAGCTTTAATGGAACCAAAGGGACCAGTACAATTATATGTCATCGCCCCGGGAAAAGTAGTGTCCTCTCTGTTTTCCTTTTGATATCACCTAGGAAGTATGACTTCATAGAATAGCCTTGTCATTTCAAAATCGTGTTATATGGAATCATCATTTTTTGAGTTCTAATTTCAGGTGTTTTTGAAAAAAATCACAATTTGGCTGTGAAAAAGGACATGAGGAGACTAAAGACTTGGGATTTTGCTGATCAGAATGAAACCCATGTTGAAGGACTTTTCAAATCTGTTGCTGGTGGTGCTCTGTGACTGTGGTGAGTACTGTGACTATATTGTATCCTGTAGGTACCGATAAAGAAACACACATACGGGGCATAGAAATGCATTCGTACTGATGATCTTTCGTGGAGGATGCGGGGCAGGGTCATTGGTGCCTTTTAAACCGTGGCCTTGCAACTCTGAGTTCTCTGAAAGTGATTCATAGTTCTGCATAATTGATTCAAATTTTACTTTAGTGTATTTTTAATTCTTAAAAAAAACCCTAACAACCATTTTAAGTAATTGGAGAATAGCACGTTACCCTAAATTGTCTTTGATTGATTTCCCAGTATTTCAGTGTAAGTCATTTTATACCCACCCACACATAAACACAACACTAATTTTTTTTTAATGTATTCTATAAGATTTCACTTGATGAGAGAGCTTTACTGTTAGAGTACATTTGGAACTAGTCTGAACTTCTCTCCCTCCCAGTTATGTACTTAGACAAGTTTCTTAGTCTCTTTCCCCCTTAGTTTAGCACTAACATCGACTTCACGGGGTCGTTACAATAAAATAAAATGAAGACTGTGGGATAGCTGAGTACCTGAGCATAGAGTAGGTGCTTAAAGTTAGTTCTCTTCAATTTGTTCCGACTAGAAACTCAATTTATTTCTCAGTTTTATGCAGCTGCTGAACTAATAGAGTCAACAATATGACATTATTGCCATTACAGTCCAGGGGTCAGAGAATTCTGGTTTGTGTACTATCTGTGGCATAGCTAGTGAAATGGAACAGAGCATGGGTAGTTCTTTTCATCCAGTAGATCTCCTTTCTCAGACTTCCTTTTTAAAGAAGTTTATTTAGGTAAGAAGACACTTGCTTTAAGAAAAACCAACGTGGGATTCATTTCTTTTAAAGTAATTTATTACTACTTAAAAACAGATTGCTCTACATTTAACAGCCTCCTGCAGAAATTATTACTTTCTTTGATTCATAATGATAAGATACCAAAAGCATACAAAGATGTTTGTTAAGTGCAAAATGCCTTACTTGAATATAAAAATAAAAGTTGAATGAGCATAAACTAGAGCACAGAAGGTGAGTACATAGGCTACTAATGGAAAAGAAGGTATTTTCATAGATCTGTTTTTCTTCTTTATCTCCCTTTGGTATGGAAAAATATGTCATTACTGGTTAGTTTTTTTTAAATCAGCATACTTGTATATAGACAGTTTATTGTAAGTAAATACAGAAATGGAGAGAGGGGATGTTGAGGAGTGCGGAAGTCGGGTTGTGGGAGAATCAGATGAAAATGTCTGCTTGAGTGTAGAACAGGCGCTCTGGAGGACACCAGCGAGCCCTCCCTTCAGTGCACACCTCCTACTTGCTGGCGATTGCGCCCATCAGCTGTATCTTTGCTCTCCATTTCCATCTGGTCATGGGTCTCTCTTTCATTGAATGGTTCCCATCAAGTTAGAATCTGATCAGCCCCATCTTTGTGATTCACAGTAGATTCCCATTAATAAATGAAGTGGCATGCACCTCTTAATCTTAAAATGCATTCTAAACCATCCTGTACCCTTCAGATTCAAATTAACAGGACTTTGCTCTTAGTCTTAACTCCTTCCTTGGGCTGTAGTCAGTGCTGGATCCCTTTGGCCACTAGTTCACAAAAGGTGTAAAAGTGGCTCTGAACAGCAGACAAGCTACACAGGAATCAGCCACTTTCCAGACACAAGAGAATATCCATCTTTCTACTCTGTTTTGCCTAATTGAGAAAAAACAAAATGATTCTACCCTATTATAAATTTCATGTAAGTAGTGATCAAGTATTCAAGTCTATCCAAGTTTTACATATTTTGTTTCACCTCATCTCAAATAAGAAATAGGATGCAGAATAAATAAGAATAAATATTTAAGAATGCAGAGCTAATTAAGAAAAATAGTCCTGTGTGCCAATATATCCATGTGTTGTTTCCAGTAACCATCGATTGAATACATATAAGGGTATTTTGGGCTACAAGTCCAAACAAAAAAATCATGAGTCCCTTTGGACATATATAATATGTGATATGTAATATATGATATATTATACATGGGTGAGGTATATGTAGTAGAAATAATAAGATCAGAATTATTCAAGTTATTTTTAAACCAAAGGGTGCTGCAGTCCCCTAAGTCTAGAATCATTTCTTACCCAGCCATGGACCAGCTGATTGTCTCATTGCCAAATTCTGCCTCCTTTGATGTATGTTTGGATAGGATTCAAAACAGAAACGGGGATTCTTGTGTGTTTGTTTTCTTTGTACTGTTCGCTTCAGCTGCTCTGCTGGGTCTCTTTTTAAAAGGTATGATTGACCCTAACTGTATGATACTCAGGAGACTAATAGTCATCTGTCCTATCTAGGCTATCACCAGTTGCTGTAATGACATTAAAATTGCCAAGGAATTTGTACCTCACATAAATAGAAAGCACAGTTCCTTTATTGATAAAAGTTCCCAAGTTCGTGTCTTGAATGTTAGACAATCACTTTGAAGTAAAGTTAAGGTTCTTAAAGTCTAGAGCAGTTTTTCTTGTGTCATTCAAACCAGGCTTCCTCTAATTTTGTTGTTTATCCCTTTCCCCCAAATACCTAAACACAAGAATATGATTAAAATGAGAAATATGAGGTATTGGATTTTTAACCCAAGAATTGTTATTCTAGCTTCATAGATTTTCATTGCGTGTGTGTGTTGAATGTTGTGAATAATTAATTCATTATTTTAAACCTCATGAAAGGTGGTGATAGAACAGAACCACTTAGCATGGAACAAGCTCAATGCCCAGCTCCCGGAAGCTGTGTGCCATTTACATTTTACGTCATCCATAGCTCTGTTCTGACTTCTCTAGTGTCTGAAATACTGTTTTCATCAATGCATCTGTTTCTAATGCATCTTCTAAACACTAATTCTACCCATTTCAGTCCTTGGAGAAGCTGAATATCTTCTTTTGGGAGAGCCTGGCCATGTAGCACTAAGTAACAGCACGGTGTCAGTGGATTTCCAGTATTTGGATGGTGCTAACGGGACCCTGAGGAATGTATCTGTCCTGCTGCTGGAGGCCAACACTAATCAGACTGTTATCACCAAGTACCTCCTAACCAACGAGTCCCAGGGAACACTCAAGTTTGAGTGCTTCTACTTCAAGGAGGCTGGTGACTACTGGTTCATCATGACTCCAGAAGTGTCAGACAACATTACTTTAGTCCCTTTGTTGGAGAAGAGTGTCTTTCTTAAAGTGGAGTGGCCCGTCTTCCATGTTGACTTGAATAGGACGTCCCAGGCAGCAGAAGGCACCTTCCAAGTAGGCCTTTTCACCAGTCAACCTCTATGTCCATTTCCTGTGGACAAGCCCAACTTGGTGGTGGATGTCATCTTCACCAACAGTCTCCCTGACGCAAGAACAAGCCCTGGACAGCCACTGGAGATAAGAACCAGCAAAAGGACAGAGCTCACTCAAAGTCAGTGGGTTGAGTTTGGCTGTGCACCTGTGGGGCCAGAAGCCTATGTCACCGTGGTGCTGAAGCTGCTTGGCCGAGACTCAGTGATTACTTCTACAGGACCCATTGACCTGGCCCAGAAATTCAGATACAAATTGTCGATGGTGCCAGAGCTCATGTGTGAGTCTGGGGTGGAGGTGACGGTCCTGCCCCCACCATGTATCTTTGTCCAAGGAGTGGTTACTGTCTTCAAGGAGGGCCCCAGACACCCTGGGGAAGGAACAATTAAGCTGGCTGAAAACAGCTTGCCCCTGGGAGAGAGAAGAACAGTATTTAACTGCACTTTGTTTGATATGGGAAAGAATAAATATTGCTTTAACTTTGGCATTTCAAGAAGCCATTTTTCTGCAAAGGAGAAGGAGTGCATGCTCATTCAGAGAAATATAGGTTAGTATTGAGATTTTTAAACATTTGAAAATAAGATTAGCATCCTCACGTAAACTTCTTAGGTAGAATTTAAGTGAACCTCAGGTGACGTGTACCTTCATTTTAATGGTTCACTCTTCATCAATTGGCATTCCCTTCATTATCTGAAAAATTAAAGAGTACAGTCATTTCTCAGTATCCTTGGAGAAATAATTCCAGAATGTGGGCATCAAAATGGTGCAGTATTGTGTCTAATTTATATGTATCCTTTTGGTCGCTTATCTTATAATAACTAATATAATGTAAATGCTATGTAAGTAGTGGTTATACTGAACTGTTTAGGGATTAATGGCAAGAATAATAACGACAAGAATAAGTTTAGTATAGGGCTAGTGCTGTAGCTGAGTGGCACAAGCGCCTGCCTGGCAATTGCAAGGTCCTAAGTTCAATTCCCAGTACCCCCCACCAAAAAAAAATCACAAGAATAAGTTCAGTACAGACATTTTTTTTGTCTCTGAACACTTTCCATCCATGGTTAGTCGAATTTACGGATGTGGAGCCTGTGGGTGGTAAAGAGGGGCAGCTATACTTACACATAGATCCGCATAATCTCTTTAGTTTCAGTTTCCCATCCAGAAAAGAGGAATAATAAAGTATCCACCTCAGAGAATTATAGGGATTAAATTAAATAAAAGTAATGTTCTTCAACATCAGACCCATCCATTCCTGACAGCGTGGAAGAAGTGTCATTCCTCCAGTATCAGATCAACACTCCTGCCCATTGTGGAGCTGGCATAGAATTACTCAATAAATTGTAGCTATGCTCAGATTATGTTCTTTAAAAATCATATTATTGGGGCTGGGGATTTAGCTCAGCGGCAAAAAGCGCCTGCCTGGCAAGCGCAACGTCGTGAGTTCGGTTCCCGGTACCGAAGAAAAACCAAAAAAAAAAAAAAAAAACATATTATCACATCACATAGTAAGTCGATGGCCGAGATTATTGGAATTTATATTCAATGACTTCTGTTTTGCCTGCTGGCTGAGTGTGTCTGGTCTCTTTTAAGTCTTTTATTATAGGAAGGAAGCCACTTTAGTGAGAAATGGAAGGACGATGTCTTCGTGGTCTGTGCTCTTTGTGTAATGCAGTGCTGAGATTGAACCCAGCCGTGTGCATGGTAGGCGAGTGCTCTATCACGGTGCTAGCACCCCTTCTGCCTCGGGCTGCTCTGTGCATCTCTTCCCCTTCACCCTGGTGCAAGCATGGTCTTATAAGTGGTTTAATTGGCAGAGATTTTCTGCCGCACTCACCAGTTACTCTTATCTTCACCTCGCTGAGCCCAGGGCGCTCTGACTGACTTTCTGTGACCACAGGTGTTTCTTGCTCTGCCTACTTCCTCTCTTTTAAAGGTCCCTTTCCTTCTACTTTCTCCCCTTCTACCAGCCGCTTATATCCGCCTCTCTAACCCACCTAGATTCCGCAGCCCATCCCTTCATCACCCTCACCAACATCCTAACTTCCTTTGCCTCGTGGTCCTTTTGTTGCACAGATCAGGTCTCACCCTGGCTTCATACTAATCCAGCCACGTGCCCGCTGCCCGCTGCACTCAGACAAGGTCACTCTCAGGCTGACTGGGGCCACCGTGGTGGTTCATGCCTCCATCCTCAGCTGGGCCTCCGCCTTACCCAGCAGTCGTCCTGGCCAGCTCCTGTTCCTTCCTGCTCTGCACAAGAGCTCCTCGATGCTTCTTCCACTCATCCTCAACCCCTGCCTTGTGGTTACCTCTCAGAGTGGACTCCTGCACATAGGGCAGCTGGAAGCCAGTAGGTGGGACTCCGCACCCTCCCACCAAAGGTCATATTGTGTGAAGTTATAGAGTATGTGTATAAGGTATATATGAAACATAAATGAATTTCATGTTTACACTTGGCTCCCGTCCTTAAGATATCTCAGTATATACTCCCAAATCTCAAACATTTCTGGTGTCAGACCCACCCTCTCCCCTTCTTTTCTGTCACCGTGGAAGAAGTACCATTCCTCCACTATCAAGTAAAACCTCCCTTCCGCTGTGGAGTTCAGCCCCTCTGTTCATTTCCGGAATCTTCTATTAATCATTCTGTCCCTCTCAACCCTTATCTTTAACACACCCTTATAAGAGCTCATTCCCTTCAACTTTTAAATGCATTTAATTTCCTTATCTAAAAACAAAGCAAAACCTATCCCTCACTCAGCCTCATATTCTCTCCCAGACATTATTTGCTCGTCTTCCCTTTATAGCCCAGCTTCTTGAAAACATTTGATTACACTTTGGAGTTGATTTCCGGCTCACATTCACTTCTCAGCCTGCTGCAAACTGACTCCTTCCTGCAAACGCTCCCTGAATCAGTCAGCAAATGCATTTCAGGTCCCCAAACCCAGGACTGCTTTGCACTAGCCTTGCTTTTGTGGTGCCACACCCATCTCGCTTCGTCCTGCATGATGTCTTTTGCTGGCTCGGTCCATCACCTTGTCTCATCCCTTAGCAGTGGGCCATCTTCTCTCTTCACGTGCTTGCCAGGGGATTTCTGTCCCGATGCTGACGAGTCCAGTTGGGCATCTGTCTCTCCCCTGCCCTTGCATGCTGAATAGCTGGCATCCCTCAGCTGTCACTAGTGCACCTCAAAGGCAGCACATGTGGATTGCACTTGTCCTACCCCCTAGCTGAAGCTTCTCAGTGTGGGACTCCACCGCCTGCCTCACTGGTCAAAGCAGAAACTTGAGTCTTGCTTGTGTCCTTCACGCCTGTGTATAGTAGGTCACCGAGTCATTTGGCTTTTGTTGTTGTTGTTTTGTTTCCTTTTTGTCTTTTGTCTTGAGGGTGTCTGACTCTACTTCCTCCCAATTCCACAGTAACACTTGGTATAAGCCGTCCTCATCCCTTACCTGGACTTTTGCAAGCATTCTAATTGATTCTCAACTTCCATTTCATTCTTTGATTGCAGCCAGAGAGAGTATTTGAGATTCAGCCAAGCTGAGGCTGTTCTGTACTTAAAACCTTTCAGTCACCTGACTTGGCTTGAGGGTGGAACTCCACAAGGCCCTCAGTGTTCCAGCTGTCCCCTCTTGCCAGTCACCATTTCTTTGCTGGGCCCTGGAACACCTCCCTCCCATCATCCCCTGGTTAATGTCTCCTCCGAGGCTGCACTTGCATTACTCCTCTGCCCCGGACTGGCTGACTTCCCTTGCCCTAACGTGTTACAGCATCCTTCAGTTCCTCTTTCATGGCATTTATCACTTCTGCCATGTTAATGTTCTTGTTAATGTTAATTTTCTTGTGAATGTTGTCTTCCCCTTTCCTAACCCCCCTCCAACATTGGGGAAGCTGATTTGGTGGCAAAACTCAATTTATGTGGGCATTAAACTGTTATTAGTCAAACTATTAATGGTCTTTATTTAGCCTGCCTGGTTTGCCTGACACATTAATAGTTGCTCAATACATGTTTTAAAAAGTGAAAATTGAACTCAGGTATGGCTGGCCTCAGCTAGGTATTAGGAAAACAAATTGAATTAATTTGATGACCCAAGATATTCTTGTCTTTTCAAAAGAAGATATATGTACAAGGAAAAAATTCTGACTGGATTTAATGGAAATAAACCAGGAGAAATCAAGACATGTGGATCTTTGATTAAAAACATTTGGGGCAGGAGTGTCATCTTAGTGGTACTCCAAGCCACTGGGCTTTTTACAGATGTTCCCAGCCAGTGTCAAACAAACAGCAGCAGCCCAGGAGAGATTCTGGAAATGGTCAGAACAGGGAGTGGTCCTCTGCCCAGGCGGAGAGTGGTCAGGGGCTCCCTATGAGCTGCTCCATGCAGCAGCAGCTACACACATCCAAACTGCAGGACCTACAGCAGTAACCGCAGGAGCCAAACAGATTCTCTGTGTGGCAGGCCCATCTTGACTCTGATTGTTCTGCTAAAAACAACTTGTAATAGGAACCTTGGTGCCTTCTTTGGTTTTTAGTATACATTGGACAGCTGTATTCAAAAATCTGAAATCCACAGTGTTCCAGAATCTGAAAACTTTGAGCACCAACATGATGCCACAGTGGAAAATTATACATTTGTCTTCATGTGACAGGCTGCAGTCAAAACACAGGTACACTAAAGATATTGCGTGAAATTGTAGAGTATGCGTATAAGGTATATATGAAATATAAATGAATTTCATGTTTACACTTGGCTTCCACCCTTAAGATATCTCAGTATATACTTGTAGATATTCCCAAATCTCAAACACTTCTGGTGTCAAGCATTTCAGATAAGGGATATTCAACTTGTATGTAAATTTACAACTGAATGGATGAATTGATGTATTTTCTTTTTTTCTTTCTTTCTTTCTTTCTTTTTGGTCTTTTTTGAGACAGGGTCTCAATATACAGTTCAGGCTGGCCTTGAGCTCACTTTGTAGCCCAGGCTGGTCTCGAACTTGCAATGATCCTCCTGCCTCAGCCTCCTGAGTGCTGGGATTACAGGTGCCACCACACCCAGCTAAAATGTGTTTGTGTGTCTTTTTTTTTTGGTACCAGGGATCAAACTCAGGACCTTGCAGTTGCCAGGCAAGCATTTGTGCCACTGATCTACATCCCCAGTCCTTTATTTTCTATTTAAGTTGACAGTTCTGATCAGTAACGACTTTTTTTTTTTGAGAGTCTTACTGTGTAGCTTGAACTGGTGGCGATCCTCCTGGTTCAGCCTCCCAAGTGCTAGGATTACAAAGACTGTCTTTTATGCCAGATGCTATCATTCAGGGGTCTGCTGTGACTCGTGTGAACCACAGACTGAATTCTTTGTTAGTTCTTTTTGAAAATGGAATAATGTGTTTTATATGTTTTCCTCTTCTTCCAGCTATGGTCTTAGAGCCCTATCACAGTACGTAAATAACAACTTACAACAAATTTTGGATATTGCCCAAAGTGACTATTGATGACCTTCACAAGGTGATTATTTTGCCCTAGGCAAAGTTTGAAGTGCTTTGTGATTA